AGAGAGAAAGAGAGATATGGAGGAAGATGACAGTTGAAAAACCCTAACCCGAGAGAAGGAGGACAGGGTCCGCGGAACGGAGAGGAGAGAGAGAGAGAGAGAGAGAGAGAGAGAGAGAAGGTACGGCGTCGTTTGGTCCTGAACAGCCAAGATCGAGCCTTTATAAGTACCAAAAGGCCCAATTACAGGCAACGAAAAAGGTTTCCTATTAATACGCACGGCCGTTAAAAAATTGTAAGAAAATTATTTTCGAAATAAATTACGTAAATATGTTTTCATTATTTTTAGAAATATTTTAAATTAAAAACCAACACTTTCAACTGTAATTTTCAAATTCCTTGGACTATAAAAAACAATTTTCGTACGTTTAGATAAATATATTATAATATTATTATGTTTTAGACATAAATAATAAATATAATTATAAATTATAAACAAAATGAAACAAATAAGTTTGAAATTTTTACAGATTTTTAGCTTAAGTAAATATAAATTTGTATATAAATTCCCCAAAATTTTCTATTTTTTTTTTTTTAAAAAAAAACTTTGACTCAAAGTACAAATATATTGTAAGTTCAAGTAGATAATTCTCATACCGTCAAAGAAAAGGTAGGCAAACTCTGTTACCTACTAAAAAAATATCACATGGACTTGAGAGTATAAACAAAATATTTTTTATAACTACTAGACATTTGTTTTACGTCTAATTGAATCCCATCCCATCCAATACCTTCCAACATGCATGTTTCTTTTTCAATTATATTTTTATGAAATAGGAAAACAGAAACTACAAACTTATTTTCATGTGTCAAATGGAGCAAGAATGTTGCATTCTGGAATTGTACCCCAAAACATTACTGACTCTTCTTCATCCTGGAGTTGTGCAATGATGAGCTACGTTCATGATCAGAAGTTCTGATGATGAAAAGAAATGTTTCCACAAGCATCCCCATAACAAGTCCGAGAATGCCTCCAGCAGCACTCTTTGTAAAAGAAAATTCACAGACAATCAGTTCCAATAATGCCAGAAAGATTAAAAGCAAATAGAAGAAAAGGGACTATGTTTTCAATGCTACCATAGCAGAATTGTGACTAAACAAAGCTCTGAATGTTGCATATCCAACCAAATATCCTGTTAACATTATAAGGGCGACGTGTAAACCTGCGGTTTTTCAAACACCAGATCAGGGCATGAAATGACAATGTAAAGCTCATGGATGAGAAATCCTAAATACAAACAGGAAATGTGGACAAAATTTACAGTTTAAAGAAAAATAAAAAAGACAATCATGAAATCTTAGGTAGTATTTGCCATACTAAAAGTACGGATTGTACTAATTCCTCAAGAAAAAAAAAAAAAAAAAAAAGTATGGGAGTACACAAAACAAAATTGTATACTCTAATTTTTCTTTTGAGAATAAAATGAAAAATGTGTTAAAAAGCAACAAGGAAAAGAGAATAAAACGAAAAATATGTTAAAAGAGCAACAAGGGTGTGCAACCCACTTGCAAAAGATCACATAGAAAAAAGATCAAAAAGATCAAAAGGATCAATGGTATCTGCATCATCCACCATAGGGTGACCCCTAGCTTGAAGACAAATATTCTTCTTTCCTTGAAGTGGAGACCACCCATTACGGATTTTGGTGTGCTCTGGAGATAAAGTTATTTTTGCTGGCTTGTTGGTCTTGTGGTTGGAGTGTAACACTAGGATTTTCAGGGGTCGTGGCACTCCTTTTTCCTTTATGACAGAATGGTTTTCTTTGCTATTTTGTGGGCTAAAAGGCTTCATAGTTATTTTATAGATGTCTCTTTGGTCATCTTGCAAAAGGGACTGAGATGAGTTTTTTTTTTAAATATAAGAAGAGAAAATGTATTAATGTGAAGTGCTAAGGGAGCACCACCCATTTACAAAAAATTTACATGTCAATTAGCATATTTACAATATAACCTAAATCTTCGAAACATTCTAACTTATGCCCTAAAACAGTAGAGCCAAAATAATAAAACCATTTATTTTTTATGCTATTAAAATCTTTTTCAAACCCCTCAAAAGCCCTGTTGTTTCTCTCTTTCCAGACTGAGATGTGTGTTTTGATGTATTTCTTTTTCTTTTCCTTGTTTTAGGAGGATTTCTTTTTTTGAAATAAAAAGTGTATGTATTCATAAGCACCAAGAGGGTGCAATTGTTTTAGGAGGATTCCTTGTCCTCTAGTATAGTACTTTTCTCAGCCCTTTCTAATAATCTATTTCTGCAAAAAGAAAAAGAAATATTAGAATGGCTAAGAAATTGGATTTTAACTTGGATTTTCTAAAAAGACTGAGAATTGTATTTTTTGCCAACAATAATTTGCTGTCACAATATGGATAAGAATAGGGCCAGAGTAGTATGAGAATCCTATTTATGCTTTGATTTCTTTTTACTACTCCATTAGAATTTCTAGCTATAGCTTATTTAGATTATGATTTAAGTTAAAGCCTCATAAGCTCCTCCATGATGCCAATAATTAGGAAGCCATTATCAAATACAGATACAAAAATTTTTTAGCGTAGCTGTTCCATATGATTGTGTGATGGAATAGAACTCTTAGATTAGGTGTAATGGTAAACAGACCCTAGGTGTGGCTCCTAGATACCTTTTTAATTATTTTCTATCCATCAAACTCTAATTCCTAAATTTGTGGTTTAATACCTAAAAAGCCCTACCTTGAACCCAAATCCCACAAGGAGGAAAAGTAATCCTACTTTGTCCAAATTTAAAGATATTATGCACCTCCTCCTACATACATTTCTACAATTCTTCTTGACAAAAACAGCAGTAGATGGTAACAACAAATAAGAGATTTTAAAGTCATGGCCATATAAAAAACATAGTCTAATGTAATTCCCCGAAGGATTTTCTTTTATACATTTGAACTGACTCTGAAGTTTTCAACATAACAATGTCTGATTTGTTTCCTGGTTTTCAAGAAAGATGGTATGCACATAAAAGCTGCATGGACCTTTAATATTCATGACTTACCAGAAGACATTAAGATTACTACTCTAGATGAATCACTAACATAGCGACATTAGTTCTGAATTTGAAATATTTTTCCTGACTAAGATAAAAACATGAGCTTCAACCATACCACACAGTAAAAAACTTATGGGTTTTTATATGAAAAAAAAATCAAACATGTCATTCTATTTGGAAAAAAGTAACGCTCACCAAAACCAAGTTGATCCTTGTAAGAAGAGAATGGTTCATTTGTATCCTTCGGAGTTATATCCCTAACAAGCTCGCGATATTCATTCCTCTCGGCTACTTCTGCTAGCTTCCTCAATCTTTGTTTGAGTTCTTCACTCTGGAACCTCGATTTAAATAAAGACACAAGAATAACTCTCTGTTTGCTAACTAAAAAATGCAAGAGAAAAGAGAAAAAGAAAACAGTGGAAATATCCTGCTAAAATTTAGTAAAAGCAAGGAAACAAAGGAAAAGGATGTAGCTAGCCTTAATGGCCAAAGGTACCATATGCTCCTGGTTTTGGAAAAAATATAGGAAAACAAAAGAAATGGAACTTTTCACGTTGTAGTTTAGTATTTAACTAATAGGAAAAATTCACAAGAACATGCATGAAAGGATCATGCATAAGTAAAGGAGTTTCTTTCCCTTTCCTAAGTTTTCCCACCAACCAAACAAAAGTGGACAAAGTTCCTTTCAGAAGGAAAGCACAATTACCTTTCCCCTAGGTTTTGGACTGATAAAGATGAACTCGGATCCAGAGAAAATCTGAAGCAACTCAGGCCGAGTAGAGGGATGCAGTCCCATCCATATAGCTCGGATTGACTGGTAAGGCACACTTTTCTGCAAGGAGAGATCCAAAGCAATTTCTTTAAGTTCTTGAGAGAGATGGAGATTTTTGGAAGCAGAAAGGAGAAATGAATGAATAGATTCAGTGGTGGATATGATCAGTCCCGGAGCTGTCTTCTGATTAGTGGTGCTCATCTTCTGATTTTGGCTGTTTGATCTGATGATCAGAAAACAATAGATGGATGAGGAAAATGCTATCGTTTTGCTTTTTTTTTTTTTTTGAGAAATTATTAAGTGTTTTTTTTCTATCAATGGTTTCATTAGTTTTATGTTATCCTCAGTTACAGCTCAATTTAATAGTTTGAAAAGATAATATGCAACATTTCTTTGTACTTTTCAATCTAAAGAGAAAATTTACATGTACCTTTAAACAATCTTAATCATTATCTTCTTCAAAATATTTTGGTAACTTGTTTCTTATATATATGATAGATATCAATTTTGGGAAAACTGCACTGAGTTGATAAATAATAAGTTACAAATAAAAGAAATATAAAAATTGCAAACATTGTTTTATTATTTTTAGAGAGAGAAAGAATCTACCTATATCAACAAGATACAAGAGGCTATCACATATGCGAAAGAAGATGACCCTTAAACGAAAACCAAATTTTAGAACTATCCATCCTAAGTCTAGTAAAGGGAGAAACTAAGCCCTCAAAAGTCCTATTTCCTTCCTTTTGAATGACCCACAAGACAATCAAAGATAAGAAAAAGATGAGTATTTTCTTGCGCCTATTACCCCAATATGCTTCATGCTTAATTCTTTTTTTGTCCCAGAGCTTGTCATTACCCAATTCAAACCAAAGAACTCGAGAAAGACAAGAAAGACAACTGAAGAAGATGATCCAAAGTCTCAGCTGCCTTCATATGGAAGTAGCATTCATTAACTAAAATCTTCCCCTCTTCTAAAGATTATCAATAGTTATTATCCTTCCTTTCACCACCTTTCTACCAAAGAAAGCAATTTTAGGAGATTACTACATAAGCAATTTTAGTTTCCACATAAGCTTCTAAGAGAAATTACCTAAGAATGTGCTAAAATGAACAAAGATGCATAGATAGGATCACCATTTGATACCTACACTCGCTGAACAAAAAGGGAAGTCGTCCTTGATTTTTTTTTTTTTGAGACAAAAAGAATGCATTATGAAAACACGGCACCAAGAGAGTATCACCCATATACAAAATATTTACATCTCAATTAATAAATGAATGACATTCCCAAAATTCTCCCACCTATATATGTCATGACCCAAAATTAAAGACATAAAAATATGTATCTTATCTCTAACTCTGACTATTTCTCCCTCACACCCTTCAAACGCTCTATTATCCCTCTCTTTCCACATCATCCAAGGAATAGTTAAAAAAATAAACTTTACAAATTTCTTCTTTGTAGGAATCTATCCCAAGCTCATAATTCATCTCTAACTATACCTGTAGTAACCCAATTTAATACCCAATAGACCGTATATCATAGTTCAAATGTTATACACCACTAGACACCAAAGAAGTAAGTGATTGCACAATTCAACTTCTTTTTTGAACACATAACAACCATTTATCAGGATTTTACGACTTTTCACCAATTTGTCAATCGATAGAATACATTCTCGTCCTGCTTCCCATACGAACAAGCCAATTCTCGGAAGTGCCTTCACTTTTCCAAATTTTTTTTAGCAAGGAACCTGAGCCCTTCCTTGTCCCTCTTAACTAGGTGATATAGAATGATTTAATAGTGAACTCGCCTTCTTTCTTCAGTTTCCACACAACTCTATCCTATTATCACTCAATTGCATATTGAACGACACTAGATAACGCCACATATTCTTCATCTCTCCA